GATTTTATTTAGGATTTTTGCATGTGTTCATTAGAGATTGACCTGTAGTTTTTTTGTTTGTTGTGCTTGCTTGCTTTTGATATTCGTGTAATGCTGGCTTCATAAAATAGAGTTGGTAGTATTGCTTCCTCTCAATTTTTTGAAAGAGTTTGTGTAGGATAGGTACAAGTTCGTTTCTGAACATTTGGTAGAATTCATTTGTAAAGCCATCTGGTCCTGGGCTTTTACTTTTGGGGAGAGTTTTGATTACTATATCAATTACACTGTAATTGGTCTGTTTAGGTGTTCAATTTCTTCTTGGTCTAGTTTTGGATGATTGCAAAGTTGTAGGAATTTTCCCATCTTTTCTAGGCTGTTGAACTTGTTTGCATGTAACTGTTCATAGTAATCTCTGATTATTCTTTTGATTTCTGCTGTGTCTGTTGTGTTTTCTCTTCCTTTGTTTATGAACCTATTTATTTGTGTTATTTGTGCTTTTTCCTGTTTTTTCTTTGTGTGTCTGGGTAGAGGTTTGTCTATTTTGTTTATTTTTTTATGAAGAACCAACTTTTTGTTTCATTGATCTTTTGAAATGTTCTTAACTTCTATTTCATTTACTTCTACTTTTATATTTACTCCCTTTTTTCTATTTTTTTAAAATTTCTTTCTTGTTTCTTGATATGAACCTGTGTTGCTATAGATTTTCCTCGTATAATTGCTTTGGCTGTACCCCATACATTCTGGAGGGTTGTGTCCTGTTCTCATTCATCTCAAGGTATTTTTAAATTTCTTCCTTGATTTCCTCATTAATCCAGTGATCTTCTAGTAGTGTGGGTTTCAATTTCCATGAGGTAGGAGGGTTCTTTGCTTTCATTTTGTGTTTTATTTCCAGTTTGATGCTTTCATGGTCAGAGAAGATGGTTCGTCTTGTGTCCCTGTAGGTGATCAATTTTGGAGAATGATCTGTGTGCACTTGAGAGAAATGTGTACTTATATTTCTTTGGATGCAGTGTCCTCTAGATGTCTGTTTGACACATAAGGTCTAAATGCTAGTTTAGACACTAGATGCTAGTAAAGACACTAGAGCTAGTGTCTTTGCCTATTTTTTGTCTTAATGATCTATCCAATGGTGAGAGTGGTGTACTGATATCTACTATGTATGTATTTTCTCTGATACTGTTTTCAGAGATAATAATAATTGTCTGACATATTTTGGTGCTCCTTTGTTTGGTGAAAATATGTTGAAATTGTTATGGCTTCCCTATGTTTTGTCCCCTTTAGTCATAATGAGGTAATCATCCATGTTTCTTTTTATCACTTTTAGGTTGAAGTCTTTTTTACCTGACATGAGTATAGCTGTTCCTGTCTTCTTTTTTGGTCCATTTGCTTAGACCATTGTTCCATCCTTTCACTTTCGATCTATTGTTATCTTTTGTAGTTAAGTGTGTTTCCTGTAGACAGCAAAAGGTCTGTTTTTTTTTTATCCATCCTGCGACTCTGTCTTTTTATTGGTGTGTTTAGACCATTTACATTCAGAGTTATATTAACATATTGGGATCTGTATTTGTCATTTTGTTTGTATTTTTGTGATCCTATTCCTTACCTTTTTCTGTTCTTCCTATTCACTCTTCTGTTGGTTTTAGTTCTAGGGTATCTTGTAATTTTTGTAGTGAGGGTTTAATAGTGATGAATTTCTGGAGATTCTGTTGTTCATGGAAAGGTTTCATTTTTCCATAATAGAGGAAGGAGAGTGTTGATGGTTTTTCCTTTGTATGTTATCTGCTTCTTCCCCCTTGTCAGCTTTATTTTTTTTTTCCTTATCTTGGACCTTTGGGAATTTACCATTATGTGTCTTGCTGTAGCTTTCTTTCCATTGTTGTAGTTTCATGTTCTTCTGACTACCTGTATTTCTATTTTCATTTTCTTCTCCATGATTGGGAAATTCTCTTCAATTATCCCCTTGAACTGTGTTTCAGCTCCCTGTTCTCTCGCTTCACCCTCTGGGACACCTATGGCTCTTATATTTCTTTTCCTTATTGCATCTGAACTTTCTTGAAATGTTTTTTCAGTCTTCTTCCTTTGTACTTCTCTTTTGTTTTCTTTTTGATTCTTTTTATATCAGAATCTTCAATAATGCTGATTTGTTCTTTCATTTCTTCTATCTTCATGGCTTTTCCCAGAGTTCTTGAGCTCCTCCACCTGTGATTAATTATCCTCCAGTTCCTTCACATTCTTCTTCAGATCATTGATTGTGATTTTATTGCTTTCTACTTGTTCTTTCAGCTATTTAATTGTTTCCATCATGGCCTTTTGGAATTCTTTGTTTGTTAGGGGGAGGTATTCTTCTGTATCTGTATTATCGTTTTCTGGAGATTGAATTTCTTTCTGTGGTTTACTGTTTCTGGAATTGGCTGGTTGATCACTTGTAATTTTTCTTCTTCCTGTTGTTAGTCTTTGACTTTGCTCTGTTCTAGGTACCCTGTGCCGCTGTTGCTGGTGTGCATGACTTCTGATTACTCTTGCTGTAGTATGATTATGTCGCTTGGTGTCCAAGTCACTGTGATTGGGTATATGTCCAGACACGTTAGCTGTGGAAGATATTCTGATTGTGTTGTACCTAGATTCCCTGCTTTTCTGATCCCCACTGTGTGAAATGAGGTCTGGCATCTCAGTTAATATTAGCCAAGTTTCTCATGTGGGGTCCTGCTTCTCTAGAAACATATTGAGTCCTACTCTCTGGAAGGTGCCTGCTAGAGGTGACTGGATAGACTGATGTTCTCTATTGAACTTCTAGGTGTGTCTCAGCAATAAAAAGGCATTAAAAGAAACAGGGATTGAGAGAAGGGGTAAGGGGAAAAGGAAGGATCATACAGAGGTATAAATGGAAGGAAGGTGACAGGAAGAAGTGAAGATTATATGGGAGTAGAGGGACAAGGAGGAGAATAATGGAGGGGAGGTGACATAAAGAGAAATAATAATTAAGGGGTAAAAGGAGAAAACTAGAGAAGACAGAAAACCAGGGTAAAAATGAAGGAAGGGCACAGAAATCTGCCATCTGACCATAAAGGAACAAAACCAACCAACAAACAAGGAACAAACACATCCATAGGTAGGGGAGAATAGCATCTCAGAGGTATGATGGCTCTCATTTCACTAATCCTTGGTTTCAGGATTAGTGGTTTCAGGTTAGTCCCCTGGGTAGCATCCCACAACTGGGTAGACTAGTCTTCCAGGAGTCTACAGTTTCCTTTTTTTTCTATATTGAGGGAGGATATAGAATGCACTCCAAGAGGACAGTCATAAACTGTGGAGTGCTATAAGTTTTTGAGATTCCCCACCTCAACTTTGTGTTCTTTATAGTCCTCTGAGGTAGCTGGGCAAGTATGGGGGCTCCTGTGGTCTGTTTTCACCTGTTGGCTTCCAGTATCTAGAGGTCCCCAATATAGGGATGAGGTCTATAAGGCTCCTTCTGATGGCTCTCCCACAGGTGGTTGAATAGTTTGTCCTTCCTGGAATAGCCTCAGGTAAGCCACCTGGTTTCAGGTGTATGTGGATGCTGATTTTGTTCTGGTCACTAGGTGGTGCCAGAGTCATCTCCTAGTAGGTTTTCAGGACTGAGCTTACAGGTGTCTGGGGGGAGCGGGGGAGGGGAACACCAAAAGCCTCCTTACCAGCCAGCCCCATGCTGTAGCAGCACTACTGCTCCAGCTTACTTCCCTGTTGATCTTTGTAGCCTTCCTATGTCCCAGGTTTCTTCCATGACCACCAAACTGTCTCACCTTTCCTCCTGGGTGATATACACTGGTTAGGTAGGTGAGGTCCAGGAGTAGGTAGTAGTGGGTAGAAGGGTCACAAGCTTCTGAATTGCTGAGTCTCTTCTTTTCCCTTGCTCTGTTTTTGTTTGTTTGTTTGTTTGTTTTATTCCCCCATTAGCCTTCTCTTTGCTTTAATTAGGTTACCAACTTTGTCCAATGCTGGGAATCAATCACTTCTACTCCTTATGAATTACTTTTGTGGGAGAGTATGATGACTTAGGATCCTTTCACTGCCATGTTGATGATGTCTCCCTCTTCAACTTTGAAGGACTCTTGTGTTTACATTAGTCCCACCTAGGTAATCCAGGATAATCTTCCTATTTTAAAGTCACTTGATTAGCAACCTTAATTTATCTACAATTTACATATCTCTTTGCCATATAACACAGGAGGGATTTGTACTTGTATATATTGGGGGGAGCTGCAATTATTGTGCTTAACACAAATCATTTTGAAATGTCTCAGATGGCATCACAGTTCACTTACAACTTTTAACTTCGATTATACACATATAATCAATGGCACGTGGCCTGATTAACAACTTTATTCATTAAGTGGAAAGCGATCCTCTTTTTTAAAAATCAGAGGTACATTTTTGTAGCATTTACATATAAACAAATATATCCAATAGAAAGACTATATATTTAAGATTCTTTGATAGCAACAAATACTACTTGCTAGAACAGTATTTTCCAATTAACTTCTTCTTTTGTATTAAATTTCTTTATTTGTATATCTTTTATATCAGGCGCAGTCCCCATAGAATTTTTACCACTAATTCATCTGTGCACCATCACCTTAGTTAGTCCCTTTTGCTCTTCTTTCCCTTGTTTTGTACCGTCTCCCACTGCTCTCCCCAGCAGGATGTCTCTGATTCATAGTTGTCTGATTACTTTTTAAATTGCTATTATTTCCTCCCCTGATCCTTTATTTGATTTCCCTATACTATTAACTTCTAACATTTCAAAAACTATTTTTAGGATTATAATTAGGCTTCTGGGTATTTATTTTCCAGACGAAAACATAAAATATATTCATCTGCTTTCTAAAATCTATCATCTATGCTCACTATTATTTCAAAAAAGGAGAAAATAATCTTGAAATAGTGGAAACCTCTTTAAATCACTTTTGCTTAATAAAATAATTACTTTTGAAATTTTGTTGATGTTTGACTCATTTTATATATCACTTTTATAACTGATTTACCTGTAGCAATAGTGTTACTGTCCACATGTGTCAAGGACTGTGGGCGGCTGCGAAGTTTGCTTTTGAGAGATCTTGATCTACGAGGTGATGCAGGTGGCAGAAGAATCTCTGATGATTGGGTTTTGTTATCTTTAAGTGCCCGAAGGCGTTCATAGAGCTCCTGTAGCTCCTTATTCTGTTGAGTTTGAAGATTTACCACCTCTTGAATGTGTCTGAATGAAAATTATGCAGAAAATATTTTAATGGCATACAGTTGTGCCAAGAAACTCTCACCTACTATAAGTCAAGTTTAACAAGGAATTAAGATTAAAATTCTGGAGACATAAATTATTTTTACAGCTTTAAGATGGAAAATGCCTTCCTAAGTTGACATTAAACTCATTAAACATAAAGAAAATGGTGAAAAATTGACAAGAAACAATTTCTGAAACTTGAACATAATGAAAACAAATTTTAAAGTCATATAATACTGATATTAATTGTTTCTTTATTCTATGTTGCAAGTATAAACAGGAAGAAAATATTTGTAATGTACAGTAAAGGATCAATATTTAGCACATATAAATAGTTCCTAGAAATTAACAGAGAATAAGGAAACAACCTTTTAAAAAAGGGGGAAGAATATGAAATGGCAATTCCAAGGAAGAGCACATTCAAGTAACAAATAAATATGACATGATACACAACTTCACTATTAACAAGGAGTACACAACTATTGTTTTAAAAAATACTTTTAATTGATCTGATTAGAAAAAAATAAAAATGATTAATAATATCCAGTCCAATGTTGTTAAGAACTAGGAAAATAGATGCACTTCTAGCAGTTCATATTAAATATTGGCAACATTAGTAAAATTTTATGTTTAGATTAATAAAAAGTAGTAAAATAGGCACTTGCATAAATTTTTGTTTGCTGTGTAAAATGGTAATAAATTGGAAGACAATTTTAGCAGTACCTATCAACTTAAAATAAACACACCTTTTAAACCAGCCATTCCACTTTTAGACATCTACTTTATAAAAACATATAAATATATAAAACCATAAAATGTTCAGCTTAACATTGTTTACATATGCAAAACATGGGATAAAAATAATACGTCTATTAAAAAAGAATTAGATCAAATAAACTTTAAATGGCTACATACTATTCCAATGTACGGAATGTAGATTATCTGTGCAAACATGAATAAATACATGTTTAAAATATATATGCTATATATAAATGCGGCAATGTTAAGCTAAAAATTATAGAATAATATGTATATTTTGATACAACTTTTTTAAAAAGCAAAATCTATATACTTGCAAATGCATAAAAAAATGAGCGGCAATATATATATATATACCAAGCAGAATTCACAGTGGTTGCCTCTGAGAGATTAGTACATGAGAAATAGATTACTTTATGTGACATTTTTCACTGTTGTACTATTATTATTTGTAATAAAAATATATGTATTTGGTCTTTGTCCCTGTTCCTTGCACACAGATCCTAAAACCCTCATAATCTCCTAAACAATAAGAATACTGGGAGGATATTTTGTTACAATAGTTGGCTTCTTGTCTTAAAATAACTCTAGAATAATAAAGGTAAAAAGAGTGTTTTGTTGTTCACACAAGTTCCTTTCAATCACACCTGGATTTTTGTCCATAAAATATTTCTTTGAAAGTTTCTAGATGGGAGCTGGTTGAATCAAGCCAGGAGAATCAATCCTGTGATTAGAAGGTGGGAATTTTCATTCCTCTTTCTCCAACTCTGGGGAAAAGGCTAGAGACTGAATTAATCATTACCGATGATTTAATAAATTGTGTCCACCATAAAAAACCCTGAACTAAAGGGTCAAATAGGTTCCAGGCTGGCGAACACATAGAGTTGTTGGCAGAAATAACACCTGAGAAAAGGTGTGGAAACTTTATGACCCTTCCCCTCCCTATACCTCACCATTTGGCTGTTCCTGAGTTGTGTCCTTTTATAATAAACCAATAATCTAGAATAAGTACATTGCTTTTTCTGAGTTTTTTAAGCTGCTCAAGCAAATTAATTGAACATAAGGAAGGGATTGTGTGAACTCCAATTTATAACAGGTAGATCAGCAGAATAGTTGACATTACCAGGACTCATGACAGGCATTTTAAGAGAGACTTGTGGGTCTGAGCCCTTAACGTATGGGATATGAAGTTATCTTTGTAGTTTTCCATCATAAAAAAGTCTTTAAATATCAAAATGTCACCAATACTAAAGTGGCTATAAATCAAATATTTGGTTCTGCAATACTCAGGGCAAACACACTTACAACAAAAGAAAGCAGTCCTTACTTTTCTCGTAATCTTTGAAGCTCCACCTTCAAGTCCTCATCCTCTATTTCTGACTCATCATCACTGCTCATTGGGGAAGATGGTGAATAGAAAAGTGAACTCTGTGTTTGAGTATAGGTTGGTTCTTCATGGAGTAATAAGCACTGCTCATTCTCTGGACCAGTCTTTGTCATTGACTTCCCTCTTCCAGTGAGAGTGGATGAAAATTCACTATCAGAGTTAGGTTGTTTCCCAACAGTAAATCTCTCTCTCTCATTTAGCAATAGTTCAGATCCAAGCTGCACACTACTTCCTGTGGCTGAATTTTCTTCCAATTCCTTTTCTGGAGTCATCAAAGATGTATCAGTCTTACAAGTTGTGCTAAAAGATAGTAAGTGGTCACCTTGTTTGAGAATTTTTTTATCTTCTTTAAAGGTTTTGTGAAGAGTTCGTATCTTCTGAAAAGAAAATGAATTTTGTGGATTGTGCATGGCAGGTTCCATTTCTAACAAGTGAGACTTTGTTGTTTTGGTAAAGGCTAAAACTTCGTCACTAGAATGGCTTGTCATGTCATTGAATGCTGGTATGTGCTCTATTCCAAAAGATGTTACTTTCATCGACTGCTGCTGAGGAACTGTAATTACCTGAGATACAAAAAGGCAAAAATGGCTAGCTATGCCTAACCAAAGCAAACCCATAAGTGAATTTGACATTAGTATATATGGTACAGACAAGTGCATAGTCTACTGTGATGTTCATGTATCGATTAAAATCCTCATATTCAAAGCCTTTTAAGTGGACCCCTTGGGTAAAGAGAATTGGCTTCACATTGCTCAAGTAAAATTCTACAATTAAAAAAATTTCATAATTAAAGTTGCTAAAATTTTAATGGACACGAAGGTAGATTTATCAGAAAAAATGACCCATCTACTCATCAAAAAATGATGATCCAAATTCTGTGCTCTCTTTCAACTATAAAAATCCTCATTTACTCAGACTCACTTTTATTGGATGGCTTCAAAAGTTGAGGGAATATACAAAGGGAAACAAATTAAAAATGACAATGATCTATTTTTACTATTTTTAAATTATATATATGTATTCAATTTTTAAATTGAGGTAATATTGGCTTAGAACACTGTATGGTTTGGAGGCTTAGGATCACACTTTTAGATGTATGTTAGCACATTACTCCTACCACCAAAGCATTATAGTTCACCACCCTAATTCAATGGGGCCTTTCTAGACGATGTTTTGTTCCCCGCCATGATAACCACAATTCTACAGACATATTTATAGGGTTTATTATTGGTTTACTTTTAAGTGACCCTTTGTTTCATTTCTCTATATTCTACATATGAGAAACCATCTAATACTTACAGTGATCTATATTTCACATAAATAACCTCTTCAATACTATTACTTTTTATAATGCTCATATAGATAAGGATTAGACCAAAGATACAAACCTGGAACCGACCCCGCTGAAATGATCCACTCATTGCTTTACATCTCCTTAGAGCCCTAGTGTCAGCTGCAGATTCTCCTGTCAGAGGAATGGGATCAGGAATAACTGATGATCTTACATCTTCTGTTTCCACTGCAAGTTTTGCCAAATTACAAGCAGAAAAGAGAAAATTATTAAGATTAAATTTGTTTTCATTACAAATAGGAAGAAAAGTAGAAAAAGTTTAACTCCTACTAGACAATTCAAACACATTAATGTAATAAACATTGTAGAAGTCCCTAACTCTAAATCAGACATTGTAAGCTTTATCCTGAGGCCTAGTATCTATATGAAATGAATATAAAACCAAATAAGTTACAAAAGGAAAATTCAAATGTCAACTACATTAATGGGACATGTCACATACATGAGCTACATGAAAAAAGTGGAAGATTTGTGTATGAATAACAACAACAACAAAACCAAGAGGAAATGAAAAGTGATGTTACCTAGTCTATTTCCCTGACTGTAAGCACACTACCTTGATGGACTTTTGATTTCTTGAAAAAGCTGGTTGACTGCCGTAGCCTGTATGCCCAGCTTTTTAATTTGCGAGTCCAGGATTTCTTGCTAATAGGACTTTTGAGACTAGGACAAGTAAAGCTTAGGCCAAAATATCCACCTCCTGTCTGCAGATGAATAGCTCCACCACTTGACACAGCAGCAGGATAGACCTCTGGATCCCCTGGAAGTAAAACATCTGGGGACATCTCCTAACAGAGACAAAAAGAGAAAAATCAAAATAATCATGGAGATTCTTGCATAGAGCAGTTAGTGAATTATGAAGGATGAAAGTTACATATAGTAGCATTAAGAGTACTGTATCAGACTGAACCTGAAGCAATCAATTTATAGGAATTAAGCCTTTCTCTTTTAAAAATATTTAGATTTCAGATAAATGAGAGCATACTATTATTAATCTTCTACTCTAAAATATTTTTCATTATAAAACTCTGAAAACTGAAAAATTAAGTTTTTAAAATTTAAAACATGGTTTCAGTGAACTGTAAGTAAATCTAGATATCTAAGGAGTTAGATGACATAGGGTACATTTAAGGGTGGTATTACTGTAGTATCCAGGCATTTAGATTTACAGAAAAACATCATCAAGTTTCTGACTTTATATAAGCACTTAGCAATTTATAATGGACCTCAAAATTATTTCAAATTCATATTCTGACAATTTTGAACATCAGACTATTACCAGCCAGAAAATCACTCTCACTTCTTCTAGTCCTCCTTCCTACCCCTTCTCATCAAAAGCCAGAATTAACGGCTATATTCTAAATGACTACCTTAAAAATAAATTTCTTATAATAAGTAATATAAAACTTAACATATATAATCACAACACTTTGGAAATATGAAAAGGGTCACTACTACTCTAGAACACTGAGACTATTTAAAAGTATAAGGAATGGAAGTTAGTATTTGTTTGAAAGAGGACAGCTTATGTGGCACTAAGTATATTGCAATCTTGTAAAAGTAGTACATGTATACTTAAAGCAAGTAAAAAGTTTTTGAAAGTAAAATTCTGAACAGTTTTTATTTCCCCAAATCCCATTTTGGACAAGTAATAATACTATATTCATGAATAGAAAAAGATCACAATGATATAATGATTTATAAAGTATTGAACTCTTCCCACTAAAATTATAAATAAAAATTCGAATGATAACTAGATTAAAATGATAAGTAAAATACAAGTTCTAGCCTCTCTATGCAATCCAAATTCACAGACAATATGAACAACTGATACACACACACACAAATATGACAAAAGGAGGAAAGCAACCCTTGGTATACGTAGGAATTATTTAAAACGCTCCTAATTCAGGTAGCAGATAAAGGTAGCTGGAGAAAGTCAACCAAAAGGATGATTTGTTTCCTCTCTGTCTCTTCAGCATCATGTCATTATACTCTCCTACTTGCTGGTAATTCTTTTAAAGGCCACCTGTATGAAGCAATCCCCTACTCTTTTCACCACAACCCTTATTAATTATTCCATTAGTAGAGGGTCAGCCTTTCCCACTAGAATGTGAGATCTGCCAAATAAAAAAAGAGAGATCTTGACATATTTACTGCTCAGTACAATTTTAACGAAAGGAAGAGTGAACTGGTTTGGATTACCAAGAGAGGAAGAGCCAGACAATTCTTCTCTTCCCCTCTCTACCTGCATAGCAAACAAAAGAGAAAATCTGTTCCCAAATAATAATAGTGTTAAGAGGAAAATGTTTATGGGTGAGAGGAAGATCAGCAATGTAGAGGAGACAATATTCAAGAGGGAGGGAAAGCACCTCTACCTCTGAAAACTAGCTACAGGGCCACCCTTCAGACATCACGAAAGACAAATTGCAATATCCAGGACCAAAATTCATGTCTTATACCTTTTCCACAATTACTGAAGGAAGGCTACAATAATTATATTTAGCATTCACAGACAGAACAAGAAGAATCTTGGGTAGGGAGGAAGAAAAGACAAGCAACCAAGAGAAATCAATACTACAAAAAAGACACTAAATGTAACAAACAGAAGAATAGTTAAGGAAATAGCACTAATAATACAGAATAAGTCTTTAATGTCTTCAGAGAGATTGTGCATATACTACCTCCATAAGAAAAACAATGAAATGATGCCATGAATGCAAAGAAGGGAGCTGTGTTCAGGGATCCCAAGAAGCCTCTGGGGAGTGGGAAAAAGGTTAAATACCTCCAAAGAGGTGAACTGAAAAGCATGTGCAGCCAGGTCCAGCACCCACTAAGTTGGACCTCAGAAGAGAGATCCACCCACAGATGCTGCCTCAGCCCAGATGTAACTCTGGTGCCTGCCAAGAGCACACGATACCACAGCCATGAGGAAGAGAGTGGAGATAAGGTATATCCTCCACAGAGGTGAGGAGAGATGCATGTACAGCCTGGACAAGCCCCTGGCTGGGTTTTAGACCCTAGAGCAGATCCACCCACCACCACTGCCTCAGCCCAGGTGGAACGTAGGTGCTGGCAAAGTGTGCATAAATGCCATTACTACAAAGAAGGGAGCAGTTCAGGGATCCCATGAAGCCTCAGGGGAGTGGAGAAAAGGTAAATCCCCCCCACAGAGGTGAGCTGAAAAGCATGTGCAGCTAGTGGCAGGAATATGCCATCTTGGGTATGTATTGGCCTAATATTTGTGAAAGGAGCTCTTCACCCACAGCTGTGGCAAGACTCTATCTTGGGAGCTTTGGTGTTTAGGACTTTAAACACCAGACACTGCTTCAGGGCTAGCACAGAACTGAGCCTGAACTCCCCCAACCCATCTGTTTTTCAGAGACCCAATGTGAAAAGCACTTTTCTGAAAGCTTACATAGAGAGGGCATTTGCATCACCTAGTGTCTAGAACAAAATAAACTACTACCTATTGTTGGAAATCAAGGACCTGAAGTTTTCCTTAGGGAAATAAGGAAAGGACAGCTCCAAAAACAAAGATAATGACCTCACAATAAAAATCAAAGGGGAAATAAATGAATTAAATTTTTTTTAAAGATTTATTTATTTGTGCATACAGAACTGGGGTACAGGCCAGAGGCTCAGAGGCGGTGAGAGGCTTCACCAGAGACAGAGTGGGGAGCAGAACAGGCAGATCGACGAAGTACACTGCTGAGGAAAGCAGCGGGCGGGTCAGGAGAGGTCTGGCTCGCCATGTGGTCTCCTCCGGGGCAGGCGGGAATTGAACTCATGCGGAAGTGGTTTCAGATTCTCAGTGCTGTGCTCTAACCCGCTGCGCCACCAGGGAGGGCCATGAATTAAATTTTTAAAAAATCCAAAAGATAAATGAACCCAAAAGTTGGTCCTTTGAAAAAATAAATGAAATAGACCAAACTCTAGGCAGGCTCACAAAGAAAAACAAGAGAAAACACAGATAAATTGAATCATAAATGAAAGAGGAGAAATCACAACAGATTCCAATGAAATCAAAAGAATAATCAGATTACTATGAACACCTATATGCAAACAAATTCAACAATCTAGAAGAGATGGACAAATTCCTAGAACAATATAAACATCCAAAACTAGATAGATAGAACACATAAACAGACCAAGAACAAGCAGTGAAATTGAAGCAGTAATTAAAACTCTCCCCAAAAATAAAAGACCAGGACCAGATGGCTTCACAACTGAATTCTACCAGACATTCAGAAATTAATACCTACCTTTCACAAGCCCTTTTAAAAAACTGAAAAAGAAGGCATACTGCCAAATACATTCTACAAAGCCAACATTACACTGATACCAAAACCAAAAAAAGACAACATGCACAAAAAGAAAACTACAGGCCAATCTCCCCAATGAACACTGATGCAAAAACCCTCAACAAAATCCTTGCTAATAGAATGCAACAATACATCAAAGAGATAATATATTACAATGAAGTGGGATTCATCCCAAGGGCACAAGTATGGTTCAATACACAAAAATCATTAGATGCCATCAAACATATCAACCAAAAGAAAAATAAAAACCTTATGATCACATCAATAGATGCTGAGAAAGGTGTTCACAATATCCAACATCCATTTATGATGAAGGCTTCCAGGGATAGAAGGAATATACCTTAAAATAATAAAAGCCTTATATGGCAAACCCACAGCAAATATTATTCCAAATGGTGAAAAGCTGAAGGCCTTTGAATTAAAATCAGGAGTAAGACAAGGAAGCCCACTCTCACCATTCCTCTTCAGTATAATAATGGAAGTCCTTGTCAGAGCAATAAAACAAGAGAAAGTCATACAAGGAGTTCAAATAGGGAAAGAAATAAAACTATCGCTATTTGCAGATGATATGATAATATATATACAGAGAGAGAGAACCCTAAAAACTCCACAGAAGAACTACTCAAAATAATCACCCAGTTCAGCAAAGTAGCTGGGTACAAAAATCAGCACGCAAATCAGTACCCTTCCTATACACAATCAAACTGAAGAAGAAAAAAATCAAGAGAACCATCCGTTTAAAAATTGAAACAAACAAAAAATCAAATACTTGTGAATAAATCTAATCAACAAGATGAAAGAAAATGATAAAACAGCCCCTCTCTGGTGGTGTAACGAATTAAAGTGCAGCACTGCGAAGGTGGCAAGGCCACTTTGGTGCAAGTTCTATCCCCACCCCAGAGCTGACCCACATGGCGCAGCAGACCTCGCCTATCTCACCTGCTGCACCCCTTGGTAGTATACTTCATCAATCTGCCTGTTCTGCTCCCCACTCTGACTCTGGTGAATCCTCTCACTGCCCCTGCACTTCTGGCCTGTACCCCAGTTCTTCTATATGCATAAATAAATAAATCTTTTTTAAAAAAGAAAATATAATTATAAAACACTATTAAAAGAAATAGAAGAACACACAAAGAAATGGAAATATATCCCCTGTTCATGGATTGGAAGAATCAACGTTATTATAATGGCCATCATACAAGTGATTTATAAATTGAACACTATTCCAATGAAAATATGAATGAAATTCTTCAAAGAAATAAAACAAATATGAATTTCACAAAAAAATGGACCACAAAAAAATGAGAACAGCCAAATCTCTACTGAAGAAAACAAAAAAGAATGGAGGTATCACACTTCCAAACTTCAAACTATACAACAAAGCCATAGCAGTTAAAAGTGTTGATTTGTGGGCCCTCCCTGGTGAGCCAGCGGGTTAAAGCACAGCACTGAGAAACTAAAGTCACTTCCGCATGAGTTCGATTCCCACCTGCCCCGGAGGTGACCACATGGCGTGGCAGACCTCTCCTGACCCGCCCGCTGCTCCCCTCAGCAGTGTACTCGTAGATCTGCCTGTTCTGCTCCCCGCTCTGTCTCTGGTGAAGCATCTCGCTGCCCCTGCGCCTCTGGCATGTACCCCTGTTCTGTATGCACAAATAAATAAATCTTTAAAAAAAAATTTAAGAAAAAGTAAAAAATAAAATTAAAAAAAGAAAAAGATGAACTATGCTTACTAGAAGTTAAAAATATCCTTGATATTAAAAAAATGAAGCAGGAGATTAAAAATAGTTTAAAATTGAGAAATTCTCTTAGTATAAAAAGCAAATGATAGAGATGGAAAGTATAAAATAAAATGAATCAGCAAGAAAGCCAGGAAATGATCTTTAAGTTATACAGAAAAAGCTACATAATACATCAAAAGCTATTAGAGCTTATAAACAAATTAAGAAAAGTTGAAGATTACATATCAAACCTGAAAAAATCTGATGTATTTCTATACAGCAGAAATGAGATATCCAAAAATGAGATTAAGAAAATACCTCCATTTATAAGAATGATAAAGAAAATAACAAATGATGCTGCAACAACTAGATAATCACATGCAAAAGTATGAAGCTGGACTCTTACACTACACACAAAAATTAACTCAAAATGAACCTATTTTCTATTTTTGATCAGTCAAGTGTGAAGCAAAATAAGACATTTTTGAACATTAAAAAAGGACCTAACAAATTACCTATGCCAACAGCATATCAGAGAAGGAAAGGAACTCTAGAACACCAAAACAGTAGCAGGTATAGATGATCCAGATATAGCAATGGACAACTTGAAACAAACAAAAGAATCCATTTGCTCTCAAAACTTGGAAGTATACACTGAGCATCAAAATTTAAATGACAAATAATTATATTTCATTCTTTTATGTATCTAATCACATTACCTAATCATTAGCATACATAATCAGAATATAAATGTTGTTTATTGATTCTCAACTCTTCAAATTACCCTATAGACAAGACACAACCATTAAAGAAAAAAATAGACATTAAAACTTGCCATGGGAAAACAGTAATTGCTCGCTATTCACAGCAGTGCCATTTCATGGCATGATTAGGGATGATTTTTATTTTCTGTTAAAAAATCTGTTAAATAAATTAAGACCTACAAATTAATATTAAATTATTAAACCATAAAATAAAGAAGGGAAACTAATAACAAGCATTTTAAGTTCTTCCTACCCACTAAAACAATCTATAAAACAGCCCTGTTCTGTAATTATAGATTATATAGATTTAGACATCTTCCTAGTTAAGTCACCAGAGGGCTCTCTTACTAAAAGTTCTGCTATAGCTACTGAGACACTTGGGTGCCTACAGCCTTAGTTATGACCTTCTTAAATACCTGTGATCTCAGAATCTTGTGACAATTTCATTTCAAAGCATAGAACTTTAGAAAACAAGGCATTTATTTAAAAGCACTAGTGTTGGAGAAGGAATCGCTTAGACAGAATACTTACCTGTAAACATAATTCGTTGGATACAGAAGTTATCACATTTAGTTCCCGTTTGAATATTGATATGTTAGCAGGCTGACTCATAGCCACACTGGACAGAATCTGAGAGCCTGTCTGCTGAAAATTAGAGGACTGTGTTGGACTATCTTGAAATCCACAGTGACCAATGGCTGTGACTTCTGGCAGTGGGCAGGAGAGGGTGTCTTCAGCAGAGGAAGAAAAGGGAGAATCTATGCTTTGGTTATCCTTTTGACTGTCAGTATAGACACTAGATATGCCATGCTCCTGATAAAGTAAGTTTCTTAATTTTTCATCCAGAGTTTTAATTCGGTTGTCTGCAAATTCCAATTTTGGAGGTCTTTCCCCATCTGATTCCAGGACAGTAGTGGGTAGAAAGGTAGATGGTTCAAGACTGGGTGTCGGAATGGGAACGACCGTCTTAGGAGAACTTCTTTCTGTGGTTTCTCCTTCCTGGGAAATAAATTCTGCATCCATAGTTGTCTGTTTCACTGGTAAAGATTGAAGCTTTTGATCAGACATATGTGTCAGAGTTGTAAGAGTGTTACCAGCAATCTGAGTTGACTTGCCAGGAGGGGCTATAGGTACATCAACCTGACTGGCAGCTTGGTGACATGGATACACAGGTTGGAATATACCTGCTTGGTTGGTGAGTTCCTCAAACTCAACTGGAATGGCTGGAACTGAAGTAGTAAAACTGGAACTACTAGCAACTGCTGACATTATCTGCCTGTCATCTTCTGCTTGAAGTACAGCTGGCTGCTTAGTTTCTACACAGGCATATTCAGAAATCTTACCATCAACTACTTCCTTGTGTTCTGATTTGGAGGTGAAAAGTGCATGCTGGCATGGATTATTTTCTAGAATGAGCAGTGTATCTTGTGATATTGCCTTATTACTTGTGTTTCTTGGACCTGAAACAATAACAAAGAATGGCTAAGCACATATTGATAACTAGAAAGCATTAACTACTACCAAAATTCAAAGTAGGCAGGAACAAGGAGCTAATATGGACCCACATGAGAGTATTCTTAAAACTCAGAAATATACAGAATGCCACCTGTCAAGAAAATAAACCCTTTTTTTCTCATAAGTATTAAAAATGCTTCAGTTATACTCTAATATTAACATCTAAATGCTTATGAAAATTCTCATAAGCATAAAATACCTATGAAAACAAGCTAGATATTGGGTTGTTGGAAAAGTCATGATGCAGTTTTGCCTGAGAAACAGAAAAAACATGTCATGATTTTTCTGACAGCCCAATACATGTTATATATTCTTATATTTCCAATCTCCACCTATGCATAAACTTGGTAGAGAATGAAAGCTTACTAGAAAGTGGATGTGGTCCAGGAATTGTGGACATGGAACGCTGAAGAGGAGATTGAGTCTCACGGTTTCTTATTGTTTGATTGATACAGAATCGCCACCGACCAACTGGGGATGACTGAGGAGCAGATTCATCTGTAGAAACAATTAACAAAATTCAATACACTAAGCAATTGTCAATATGCTAATATATTATTTAAAGAAACCAGGTTAGAACACCAATTTGTCTTGTATCTCCATTTCTAATAGCACTAGCATATATATGTATATAATTTAGAAGACCAGACCTCTCAACCCTGACAAATACTCTAAAGAAGTACACATAAAATATGTTTAGAGAAAATTTTTAATATCATTAGCAGTTGAAGGCACTTTATTGGGGAAATGGAATGTACTTTTTCTACCAAAACCAACATCTCCTATTCCTAATTATGGTGATACTTATACAAATCAGAACTGTACACATAAAGGAAAAGAGTCAATTGTACTATATGGCAACTTAAAAAATAAAAAAGTCCCTACATCTTTACTCCTGCTTTTGTATATCTTTTAAACTTTACTCCAGTTTATCAGTCAAAAACCTGCTCAGGCTCCTGTGAACAAGAAAAGGAAGACAGAGGAGGACACTGGCACCCTAACAAGTTAGACAAAAGTTCAGGGTAATGTGATCAAGTTCTATGACACCCATATGACTGCTGCTTCTTAATGTTATTATTCTTTCAGAGTTACTCACTTGTCTATGGCTCTTTTCCCTATAGCAGATCCTAAATATACCAAAAATGAAAGCTTAGATGGATGGAAAGAAAAAGTAATTGAAAAAGAGAACAAATGGCCCTACTTTTAGTTCGTGGAAATTTATTTGGTATCTGATTTTCAAAACTTAAGTACAATCAAAGCAAGTAGAAGCATTATCACTGGTGGAATGAAATCAAGATACAAATCACTATTAAAACAGGACATTGGGGCCCTCCCTGGTGGCGCAGCGGGTTAAAGCACAGCATAAAGAAGCTTAAGCCACTTCCGCATGAGCTCGATTCCCGCCTGCCAGGGAGGAGATCCACATGGCGCGGCAGACCTCTCCTGACCCGCCCGCTGCTCCCCTCAGCAGTGTACTTCGTGGATCTACCTGTTCTGTACCACACTCTGTCTCTGGTGAATTCTCTCACCCATCGCATCTCTGGCCTGTACCCTAGTTCTGTACGAATAAATAAATAAATCTTTAAAAACAAAAACAAAACCATGACATTGGGCCCTCACTAGTGGCGCAATGAGTTAACGACACTACCAAGCTATTATAGCCACTGTAGCATGAGTTCAATCCCAGGTCAAGTTGCTGACCCACATGGTGTGGTAGACCTCTCCTGACTCGCCCCTGCTACCCTCAGCAGTGTTTTTCAGTATATCTGCCTGTTCTGCTTCCCACTCTGTCTCTAGTGAATCCTCTCACCCCACCTCTACTCACGCAAATCTGGCCTATACCCCAGTTCTATACACATAAATAAATAAACCTTTTTAAAAAATGAGATATACTGGCCCTCCCTGGTGGCGCAGCGGGTTAAAGCACAGCACTAAGAAGCTTAAGCCAGTTCCGCATGAGTTCGATTCCCGCCTGCCCCGGAGGTGACCACATGGCGTGGCAGACCTCTCCTGGCCCGCCTGCTGCTCCCCTCAGCAGTGTACTTCGTTGATCTGCCTGTTCTGCTCCCTGCTCTGTCTCTGGTGAAGCCTCTCGCCGCCCCTGAGCCTCTGGCCTGTACCCCAGTTCTGTATGCACAAATAAATAAATCTTTAAAAAAAAATGAGATATACTTAGAATATAATGAGTTTAGTGATGAAAGTTTCTACCCATCTCATTTTCCTAAGAGGAAAAGGAAAAAACTTACCATTTAAGTTCAAAACATAAAAGGAATTAATTAATGTTCATTAATACTGTTCCTGCTTTTCTGGTAACATTAGGTAATAACTCAGAAATAATCAGATAAAAAGCCAATACTTGTATAAAAATTAGAATGTTCTGCTTAATTTACATACATATAGGTTATAAAATCCTTTAAGTATGGGAAAACCTACATTAACAACTTATCAAATCCCTTTACTGACTACCGTCTTTTCCAACTCAGGAATCTAACACAAAGCTTCAAAGTGTCTTGTTCCAACAGCCAAATGATAATTTTTATTAAAAAATACTTACTGCTGGTATGACTGGATGCAGCATTTATATGCACTTGTTCAGATGATCCTGTCTGAATTAAAAATGAATAGATAAATAAAGAAGCTCCTGATACATATACAAGAAGACTTATTTGCTAAATAATTGTTCTTACTTGGTTACTGTTAGTTTCCAAGTTAATACTGTCGGCACCAATGGCTCTTTCTGCAGCACAGTGGACATGAAGGATTTCCTGGGCTTGACCTACGATAAGCCTCAATTCTTCCACAAATTTTTCTTTTTCACTTTCCAGCACAAAGTTATCTTCAACCTGCACAGAAGTAAAGGTTAGTCTATTCATGAAAATGAATATAGTTTCTTCAAAATTACAACACTGTATCAATGCTAAGTATCCTAAAGAAAAAAAATTAAATTAAATATTTAAATACAAATGCCAAAAATAGATTTTAAAAAATAACAGCAGTAAAATCACACATCTGTCAGATTGGCACTACCTACCAAAGAGCCAGAATTCTTTAAATTAACCTGGCACTCTATAAATAGTTTATCATTTGAAGAACATACATGAGTCAATGTTTATATTTAAAACTAGGGATCCAACAGAGAACTGATGAAACTCAACAAAAATAAAGTAAATGACCCCATCCAAAAATGGGCAGATGAGCTACAAAGACACTTCTCCAAAGAGGAAATGCAGATGGCCAACAAGCATATGAAAAAATGTTCAACATCACTTGTAATAAGGGAGATGCAAATTAAAACCACAATGAGATACCCCCTCGCGCAGAGAGAATGGCACATCTTAAAACAACTAGCAACAACAAAATGTTGGTGAGTGTGTGGAGGAAAAGGAACTCTCCTGCACTGCTGGTGGAATGCAAACTAGTACAACCACTATGAAAAACTGTTTGGAGGTTCCTCAAACTGCTAAACATGGAGCTTTCCTATGACCCAGCAATCCCACTCCTAGGTATCTATCCAAAAGACACAAAAACATTGATTCAAAAAGATACCTGCACCCCCATGTTTATTGCTGCTTTATTCACAATTGGAAAGACATGGAAACAGCCCAAATGCCCAAAAATGGATGACTGGATTAAAAAGATGTGGTACATATACACAATGGAATCCAACCAAAAAAAGAGAAAAGAAACACATGTCTTTTGCAGCAACATGTATGGAGCTGGAAAAGATCATGCTTAGTGAAATAAGGCAGAAAGAAAAGGAAAAATACTGGATGGTTTCTCTCATAGCAGGAATATAATGGAACAGGCGAGAAAATAATGATGATGATGAACAGCTATATACTGGAGACATTTTGTGGGGGTGGAGGGGGAATGGGATCAAAAACAGTGGGAGGAGAGAAATGCACTGGACTATGGTGATGGCACATGGGTGATGTGGTGATGGGAAACCGTAGGGGATTGCAACTGAGATGGAAAAATGCACAAAAATATGTAAAAATAAACTATTATATAAAAAAATAGAGGGTCCAAACCCAAATGCTTTAACTCATAAATCACAAAATAAAATCAATCTAAATCCGATAAAGAATGGCCCAGAAAACTTTAATTAGGATTAACCACTCATGAGAAATATGCAAGAAATTGTTCAGAAAATACTATAAAACAAGAGAACTATCAGAATGATTAGTTCTTAAAATATTTAATTTTGCTTGATGAGATATGTATATCTAAACAAAACTTATAGAATAAAAAGCATTATGTAGTTTTCCTGCCACCCTAACCCATCCTTATCTATAAATGTGGGGAAATACTGAAGTCTAACATCTCTCAAAAGTATGACAACTAAATGAAAAAGTGAACATTACTCAAACACCTACTCATAAGATGTTACATTAGTTAACTGACAAATTAAAACTGTTTGGGGAATTATACAAAAAATGTTTAGACCTCACTGCCAAAGACGAATTTAATCAAAGACCAGGCTCAACAGAACTGTTTTTTAAAAGCTCTTCAGATGACCTTAACATGCAGCCACAGATAAGGGCTACTGACCTAGAACTTCTCTTAGAACCCTTCAAAGAAATATAATGAAACCAGGACTCTCCTTGGTGGCGTTATGGATTACAACACAGCACTGCAAAGCTAACATAGCAACTTCAGTGAAAGCTCAATCCTCGGCCAGGGAGCTAATCCACATGGCACAACAGACCTCTCCTGATGCCTGCTGCTCCCCTCAGCAGTGTATTTCAGTACATCTGCCTGTTCTGCTCCCCACTCTGTCTCTTGTGAATCCTTTCGCTGCCCCTGTGCCTCTGACCTGTACCCCAGTCTGTATGCATACATAAATCTTTAATAAATAAATAAATGTAATGAAACCATAAAAGGTATAGTGAATAAAATTTGATCATAAACAACTTAAGATCTACAAATTTTAAAAACTAGCAGTACCCTAATAACAACAAAAAAATGGTTCTGAATAAATAGAGAAGAGAGCAGGTAGAGAGAAAAAAGATACAGAATACACTCAAGGAAAAAAAAATTAGATTTTACTGTACTTACCATATAGTCTGCAATATCCTCTGGCGCATCACCATCAACATCAAACTTGAAGGTGACCATCTTGTTATTGTGTGTCTCCAATTGACATTCCACCATATTGTCTCCAGAAGTTGACACCTGGGTATGAACATTTCATCATTGTAAGTCAGTCTTCACCTTCTCTTTGTAAATGTGATGCAAATGTGAGCATCCAGATAAATTCATATGCAAAATATGGAAAAAATGCTTTAAACTGTTTAGAATCTTAAAAAGTTACTTTTTCGGCCCACCCTGGTGGCACAGTGGGTAAAAGTGCATCACTGCAAGCAAGTCGCAACCACTTTAGTGCGAGTTCGTTCCCCGCCAGAGAGGTGACCCACATGGAGCGGCAGACCTCTCCTGCCTCACCTGCTGCTCCCATCAGCAGTGTTTTTTATTGCTCTGCCTGTTGTGCTCCCCACTCTGTCTTTGGAGAATCCTCTCATGCCCCACCCCCCCAACACCTTTGGCCTACACCCCAGCTCTTGTATGCATAAGTAAATCTTTTTTTAAAAATCAGATAATAAAATTATATAGAGATATAAATAATTATCTGAATCATATACCATATCATTTAGAGACCTGTGCTTTAAAGTCTAATGTAGGTTCATATCTATTACTTGCTATTTGAATGGCTTTCAACAAACTACCTCTCTTACCTTCAGTATCCTCATCAATATAGATTAGTCTATAACCTCCTACCATACAGGGTTATTGAAGGATTAAATGACGAAAACAAACTTAGAATAGCAGGAGCTATTGTTGAGTGGTAGTTACAAATGATTTTTCAATTTTCTTTCTTATACTCTCCTATATTTCCTTACATACTAGTGAATATAAAATACTCTTATCAGAAATCCTTTTAATGACAGAAAAGTTAATTGTAAGTCTCATAAGATTTTATACTGCCCCACCCTAGGCCACCAGACCTAATCAGACACTTATGTTTGTAAAAGATTTATTTCAGTTATGAATACAAGAACTAGGGTTTAGGCCAGAGGTGTGTTGGGGTGAGAGGTTTCACCAGAATGTGGAGCAGGACAGGCAGATCTACCGAAATACACTGCTGAGGGGAAGCGACAGCAAGAGAGGAGAATTTGCTCCGCCAGGATCAAACTTGTGCTGCAGTGACTGGAGATAGTTTGATAGTGCTAAGACTTAATCTCTTGAGCCACCAAGGAGGTCCCTAATCAGACACTCTTAGCTAAATCATATTTATACACTGACCTGAAGGACAGTAAGCTGGAATTTAGGCCCCTTTTCTGGTCGAGGACAGGAAGCTCTTCTCTGTTTGATACGATCTTGCTTGCCATTTCCACTTACATTATCAGTAACGTTCGTGGTTTCTTTCACAGTTGTCACATCATGATTCAAACTAGTATTTTAAAAAGTAGTTTAACACCTATTCAGTTTCACAGAGCAGAAGTTCTCAAAGCCCCACTTTTAACCTAAATGAGATTTAACATCTGAAATTCTTTCATGGCTGTAATCACTCATGGTATTAAAATTCTAAAAACAAGCTCTCTGTTAAAAAAGCAAAAATAATGATCTGAAGGAAAATAAATATTTATATTTTAGTTTAAAAAATGAAGTATTTTTTAAAGTGATGACCACATAATTCTGTGAATATATTAAAAGTCAATGAATCATACAATTTATATTGGTGAAATGTACAGTATGCAAAGTAGGTCTCAATAAAGCTGTTTTTAAAATTTGTAAAAATTGAAGGCGATTTTGCTCTTATTTGATAAACATCTTACAATAGGGGGAGTGAAAGAAAATCACTGTTACTGGTAAACTTCTGTGAAATCTCTTATTGAAGATTTTCTTGATCAATTTATCTTGTTTGTTTTGTGGTTTCTTAAGAATACATTTAAATAAAATGTCTGAAAACCAATTCTTCTTCAAAACATACCTGTTTATATAACAACCTTACTAGGGTATAGAGAGACCAGGATATGAGACAGGAACAGTATAGAAAAGGTAGAATTAGAAATGAAAATAGCTCAATACAATTAATTTTAACCAGTGATATCTTATAGGTTTAAATCAATATGATTATGAAAGGGCAGATTTACTTTCAGCTTATCTGTGTCATAGTCATTTTTGTCTTTTATTTAATAAATGCAGAAATTCTGATCATTGTATTTGACATTTAAATGAGAAGATCTTTAAATACCACACGTTTTAAATTTTTTTAGCTAAATTCCTTTCTCCTAAAAACTACAGATAAAGTAATTGTACAAAGATACACAGAAGAGACAAAAATAATTCCTAAAAGTTTTATTACGTCCATGTGAAAAAGAATTTTCATAAATACAAACATTAGGAGAAATATATTAATACTGCCCTTGTTTATTTTAATACACAGAGATATGGCAGGGATAAGCAACACCTTCAGAGGATAAAAAGGATAAAATTCTAATCAAGGGGGTTATAAGTTACATTTCAAAGTTATCTTGTTTGGGACAAAATGGTCAAGAAACTCAACTTTCCCTGTTGCTCTTTCTTATTCCCCCCAAATCTGGAAATAATACAGTAGTGCAATCATAGGAAGACACTGAAGTATGAAAGGATGAAGGTATATATTGGCTAGAGAATCCCTAAGAACTTGAGAAAAAAACCAAGCTTGACATTTCCTAGTCCTAGAAGGTAGTCCAGAATAATCATCTCTCAAATCTCTCTATACCAAGGCAAAGGCAGCCCAAGCCCAGTAGCATCCTGACCTCCAATCCAGCAGCAGAAGGCTGTTTAGATAGACTCTTTACTCCCCTTGTGACACTAGTGGGAACTCTATCAATAGCATAATGGCCTAGAGAACTGGCCTGGGTCACCTAGCCTGGGTCAGCAGACCCAGAGAAGTGCTCGCCAATCCCTCAGTCCAGTGCTGCGACCCACTGGTGCCACGTAAACTAAACAAACCAGAATGGTACCATAACGACTCTGAAAACTATATTGCTATCAGAACCACATCCCACAAAAGTAGACAAGGAATATGACACATAAACAGGATGAATGCCTGCTGAAATAGAATATTTAAATAGAGTAAGGCCTTATAATATCCAAAATGTACAGGAGACAAATGAAAATACCTACCATACTAAAAAAAAAATAAAAATCACAGCTTGAATGTGAAAACATAATCAACAAATGTCAACACTAGGATGTATCAGATAATGAAATCATCTGACAAAAATTTTAAAGTAACCATCATCAAAATACTTCAATAAACAATTACAAATACTCTTGAAACAAATGAAGACAGAAAATTATACAAAAATAGAAGATATCATAAAAAGAACCAAATGGAAATTATAGAACTAAAAGTACAATCTTAGAAATCAAATCAAATGAACATTCATTGAATAGGCACAATTATAAAAAAAAGAACTAATAAATTTGAAGATAGAATAGAAATTGTCAAACTGAACAACAGAGAAAAATACATTTACAACTGTCAAATAATATTTTGGGTTATAACATTTCTTTAGATTAGCAGGAATATTACTTTAAAGTATATCATTTTATATTTCCTTTTGAAGCTCTTATAAATCTTTACAAAAACAGAATAAAGAAAATGATCAATAACCTTACAATCCATATGATCCATACTACTACAAAAAAGTACAAATAATACTTATGATTTTTATTAATCATAGCAACACACAAAAATACAGAAGCGTCTCTAGTCATGACTAAACACCTAATGAATGTAAATAGTTCAATATAGCCTCATTATTTTTAAGTTATTAATTTGAAAATACTCACCTTCTAACTAAGTCTGGTTTTAGAAGAGTTGCTTGTTGTTCAACTCCAACATGTTGTACTATGGGCTGTAATTAGTTTAGAAATAAAACTTGTTGTTATAAAAGCAAAATGCAGGCTAAAGATACAATTTTCCGTAATTAAAAAAAAAAACATGATTGTTGTGTTTTACCTTTGCTTACACCTACAGGAAAGTTTACATGAACTTTATTATTAATGTTACTGTCAAAGATAGAGAAAATAAAATGTGGTAATACTTTAATTTATCATGACTTTTAATTATTTATTTTTATTAATTTATTTTAAAAGATTTTATTTATGCATATAGAAATGGGATACAGTCCAGAGATGCAGGGGCGGTGAGAGGGTTCACCAGAAACAGAGTGGGGAGCGGAACAGGCAGATTAATATTGCTGAGGGGAGCAGTGCAGTAGAGAGAAAAGGTCTGCTGCCCCATGTGCATCACCTCCAAGTTGGAATTCAAACTCGCAATGAAGCAGCCACAGCTTGACTTAGCTTATCAGTGTAGCGCTCCAACCCGCTGTGCCACCAGGGAGGACCCCTATTATGACTTAAATTAAAAATTATAGCATTATATTATATATTTTATGTTATTTTTCAATGAAGAACACTGACATTCAGCTTCTATCCTAACTGTAAAACTACTAGAAAGATTTACTGCCATTATACAAACATAAAATAATGAATCAAGTTCTTTCATATTGCATGGCTTTGTTGTTTCTCACTCTTTTCACTATCCCTTTGAAGTATTAGTATCCCGCAGCAGCAATACTGGTTTCTTTTTTCTTTTTTTTTTTAAAGATTTATTTATTTATTCATATGGAACTGGGGTACAGGCCAGAGATGCAGAGGGTGAGAGGTTTCACCAGAGAAGGGAGCAGAACAGGCAGATCGAAGAAGTACACTGCTGAGGGGAGCAGTGGGCAGGTCAGGAAAGGTCTGCCTCGCCATGTGGATCTCCTCCCTGGCAGGCGGGAATAGAACTCATGCGGAAGTGGATTTAGCTTCTTAGTGCAGTGCTTTTACTGGCTGCGCCACCAGGGAGGGCCGGCAATACTGGTTTCTAAGAGAAAAATTTAAGACCCCTACAAAGTCAAATGTCAACCTTACTGTAAAATAATTTTCAGCATTTATCTAATCCATCATATGCACTATGACTAGTGATAGCAGACTGGATAAAATGCAAATCTATCAAAACAGATTACTTCCCTACTCCAATTTAAACACTTTATGATACTCCTCACTTTCTTTAGTGATAAATTCCTTTGAAAGGCAAAGTCCTGAATGAACTGATCTCTACCTCAACCCTGGCTTCTCTGACTGATGCCATACTCAGTTGGACTCTTCCAAATTCTGTGTCTTTACTTATGTTCCTTTATCTCCCTGGACTAAACTTTTCCTCAGTCCTGTTCATTTATCAAATACATGGTTGGAGCTCATTTAAAGAAGCTTCTACTAAAGTGGGCTCTAACTGGAAATGCACAGCAAAATAGCTTTGGGGACTCTAAAAAACATGTACCTTAACAGAGCCTCCCCAAGTGGCCTAGGGATTAAGTCAGATGTGCTATCATCACTATGCCCTGAGTTCAATCCCAGCCATGGAGCTAACCCACATATGGTGCAACATACCTCTCCTGTCTCACCCACTGCTCCCCTTAGCAGTGTGTTTTAGAAAATATGTCTGTTCTCCCCACTGCCTCTGGTGAATCCTCCCATCCCGCACCTCTGGCCTGCACCTAGTTCTTCTATGCAAAAACAAATAAAATCTTAAGAAAAAGAAATAAAATAGTAGTTTACAATGGAAAAACTTGGCAGGTCCACATTATTAAAGTTATCAAATTTCACTTCATGAATATTAGGACAAAAAGTAATCACATGCCTTCTAATGTGACACAAAGTGGAAAGAATATGACATCATTTATTTACATGATATTCCTGACAAAAATGCATGGCCCTATCTGAACAAGGGGAAACATTAAAGATAGTTAAAAGATAGTCTAAAAAATAACTGCTGTGTATTTTTCAAAAATAACAATGTTATGAAGGGATCTGGCAAGATGGCAGCAGAATGAAGATGCGAAAATCACTACATCCAAGCTCACAAAGGAATGTAAGACTAAAAATGGACTATAGATTTACATACTATGATTTTCAACCCAAATGAGAATACTCTGAATTCACTAGAAGGAAGATAACAGAGGGAGAATGGGTGATTGGGGAGCTCCGATAGGGGAGCTCCAATCTGGGTGTGCCCAGGCACTAGGAAGTGCCTCATATGGGAGGCTTGCTGCTCATTTGGCCCTGCTAAAGCCCTGGGGATAAAGAGAGACAACTCAGCTTGGTGAGTGGAACGCAAGCTGCGGGAAAGAGTGCTTGGAGTGGGTGCATAGAGCCTGGGAGTTGGTGAGAAGAAACTGGTGACTGGGGTAGCTGCAAGGCTTGCAACCCTTCCAGAGCATCCTGCATCCCCAGCCTCCACAGCATAGGTCTGAAGGCTTGTTCCCACCATTAGTCACTAAGGTGGGGTCAGCAAGTTCACAAAGCCCGGGAGGTAAAAGGGGGGGGGGGAAAGAACCAGTTAGATTGAATCAAAAACATGTACAGCCCTGAGAAGCTACAATACTTTGAACAAGCCCCCAACCCTCCACGGGCACATCCTAGCATAGAGAGGCCCTAGGAAGTACGTCAGACAGGAGACCTGCTATTGCTCTACCTGCTTACAGCATCTACCCACAAAACTGGCGGTGAAGCCCTGGAGTTAAAGAGAGACAACTCTATTCTGGGAGTGGACCCCAAGCAGTGGGGAAAGACTGCTCAGGGAGAGACTACTCGGAGTGGGCACAAAGAGCCCAGGAGGCACTGAGGGAGGACAAGCAGCCTGTACAGCTGGGAGGCTTTCAGCACTTCTGGAAATCCCTGCACCCCTGCATACCCCACCCCACAGCAGAAGGTAGGACTCAAGGTGTTACTGGACAGCAGTGGCCTGAAGAATTATGAGCCAGAAAGGCACTGCCTTACAAGGCTTACAGTGCTCAGAAAGTAAAACAAACAAACAGAAAAAAACAGTGACTAGCTCAACCACAGTCCCAGTTGCAGGGAGACCTACAACACTTCTAAGGTGCCACACATCCCACAGGAACATCCAAGCATAGAGGAAACCCAAGACATCGGAAAACTACAAAGATCAGTAGGCACCTTCCAGATACAAGGACTCAATATGTTACTGGGAGAAGCTGAACACCACAAGAGACACCTGACTCACTGGCTGAGATGACATACACAATTACACACAGTGGGAGCTGGGAAAACAGGGGACATTGAAACAAAACTAGGCTCAGAATACCCTCCAAAACTGAAGTATCTGGAAGTCCCTCTACCAACCCAGAAAGAACATTCAAAAAGAATGCTGGTCAATAACAGCAACACCATGTCTCAAAGAATAGAAAGTATTAGAAAATACAAAACAGGGAAAAGAAGACAAAAAAAAAAATACTCAAGCAAGTCCATAGGGGAAAATTCACCACAAAATAGATGAGTCACCAAAAATCACCAAGGAAATAGAAGAACTGCTCAGCCTATGAGATAGAGAATTCAGAATCATCATGATAAACAAGCAAAAAGAAGACGAGAAGGGAAACGATGACATGAGGCAAACTATCAAGGAATTGAAGAATGCAAACAAGGAAATGAATGAAAGAGAAAAAAAAGATATGAGATAAGCAATCAACGAATTGAAGAAAGAAAATAAGACAGTAAGAAAGGAAATAGAAGAAATGCAGGCGATGAAAAGGCCACTAGAGGAGACAGAGAATGCTGGGAAAAGTGATGAAAACAGAATAGATGAAATGGAAGAATGAATCAGCACCCTCAAGGACACAGAAATAAAGAGAATTAAAGCAGAAAAAGAAAAAGAAGTAAAAAGGAAAAGGAATGAAGAAACACTTCAAGAGCTATCTGACACCATTAGGAAAGGAAATATCAATGTTATATGTATCCCAGAAGGTGAAGAGAAAGGCCAAGGAAAATCGAGAAAATATTCACAGGGATAATAGAAGAGAACGTCCCTAATATGAAGGAGATGAAAGAAGACACCCAAGAAGCAAGAAGAACATCACATTACCACGGTGACAGGAGAAATACAGCAAGACACATCATAGTAAAATTACAAAGACTACAAGACAAGGAAAAGATAATGAGAATGACAAAGGGAAGAAATAAAAAACCTATAAAGGGAAACCGACCAGGATGACATCAGACTTCTCTGAAGAAACACTACAGGCAAGAAGAGAGTGGAGGGATATAAACAAAAAACTACAAAACAGTAAATGCCAACCAAGAATACTCTATCCTGCAGAGCTCTCCCTTCTCTACAAAAAAAAAAAAAAAAAGAATAAGGACATTTTCAGACAAACAGAAACTCCACAAGTTTGTCATGACTAAGCCCCCACTCCAAAAAACACTACAAGAAGCCCTCAAACCAAATCCAACAGAAGAAAGAACAAGAACAGTTCATAACAAGGAATAAAAATACGAAAGGAGGCCCTCCCTGGTGGCGCAGTGGGTTAAAGCACAGCACTGAGAATCTAAAGCCGCTACCGCATGAGTTCGATTCCCATCTGCCCAGGAGGTGACCACATGGCATGGCAGACCTCTCCTGACCCGCCCGCTGCTCCCCTCAGCAGTGTACTTCCTCGATCTGCCTGTTCTGTTCCCCACTCTGTCTCTGGTGAAGCCTCTCACTGCCCCAGAGCCTCTGGCCTGTACCCCAGTTCTGTATGCACAAATAAATAAATCTTTAAAAAAAAAAAAACAAAAGAACAAAAAAAAAAAAAAAAAGACACTGTAGCTCTGTAGCTGCCAGTATATCAATACAATCTCTAAATGTAAATACCTTAAACTCATTAATAAAAAGACACAGAGTTGCAGGATGGATTCAAAAACAGAACCCTATTAAAAACAACAACAACAACAGAACCCAATATTGTGCTGTCCACAGGAAACAAATCTAACTACAAAAGATAAAAAGAGATTGAAAATAAAGGATGGA